CCCCAAAACCCCAAAACCCCAAAACCCCAAGACCCTAATCCCCAAACTGAACCACCTACTCCTCTACTTAGTAACAATACATACCAAAATCTGCCACTCCTGCACCTCCGTAGTCTCTGGCCCATACTTAATCTCCCACTGTTTCTTCATTTCTACAAAGAGTTCTTCCTTCTGGTCTTCAGTCAGGTTGTCCACAAGGTTCTTCAGGATAGGCGATTTTATTAAGGAATCGAATAAGATCATTACGTCGTCGAATAGCATGTTGATGTTGGTGTAGAAGGTTTTTATGATGGTGAAGCCGACGTTGGTGAGGTCGGTGTGGAGAGAGTCTTTGTCACAGAGGTGGGTGATGGGTTTAGTAGTGGCAGGAGGGATTTCGTGCCCGAGGCTCTTTATTACGTCAGGAACAAAGCTCAAATAATTGCAGTTTTCTGGCTTCCCATGAACTGTGAATCCTGCCACTCCTCCTTTCTCAAGAACTCTATAAGCTTCCTTGAGCTGGTTCATGTAGTTATCGACAAGCATCAGTGACAAACTTGAGAGATATAAATCAAAAGATTCATCTGGATATGGAAGCTTCTCATTATTAGCTTGATGTAAGAACAATTTCTTTTCAATATCTTCTCCCATATCTTCAGCTTTCTTAGTAACATTTATAGCTTCAGAGTCTTTGATCCACTCCAGTTTCACTTTAGGATTAAAAGCAGTGTCACACTCTTGGAAATGCTCGTAATAAATTCTATTCATCTCATCAGAGAAATCACTGCAGAAGTAGAAGGCACCCTTCTTCATGATATTGGCAATGAACATCCTTGAAGCAAGTCCACATCCGACTCCAACCTCTCAGATCTTAGAGAACTTCTTGGCCTTAGTTAGACTGTACAGTATGACTGAAGACTGAATAGTGATATTTTCAAAAGAGTCTTCATAAGTCTTGCTGAAAGAATTCCACATTTTGGTCTGCTTTTCAGTAGCTTCTTCGTTAACTTCCATTTAATATTTCAATTTGAGCAAGTTTATAGGGGTTTTGGGGTTTTGGGGTTTTGGGGTTTTGGGG